AAGACGTATGAGTTCAACTTTGCGTGTAGACTATACTAATGTGACATCGAACAATTTGATTAGATCACACTTCAAAAAAAGAAAAAAAAAAAAGAAAATTTTCTTTACTTGATTTCGATTGATTGTGCATAGAAGTCGTTGTTGTTGCGTAAAATTATAGTTTTCAATTGTTTTATTTAATATTAAATCACCATATTTTTTATCAATATCAATATCAATATTTAATTCATTATTTTGTTTTAAACATTGATTAAATTCATTAAATCGACTTGATTTTGTTTCTTCAAGTAAAACAAAACCATGTTGAGCATTCTTTGGTATAATTAAAACATCACTATTAATTGTTAATAAATTTACTAATGATGGAATAATGAAAAATAAAACTAATAAATTATATAGATGGTGATAATAATACATTGTTCCTTTTTTTCGTTTCTAAAAAGAAAAAAAAGATAGAAAAAGCTAAAAGAATAGAGTTCACTAACAATAGACTATCGGACACTTGTAGAGTATGTTGAGAAAAGAAAAGAAGGATGTGTGTGTCTGTTCTGTTCAATGATGATGAACCAGTTCTATACGTACGCGCTTAGCCTCATTCGCCATCCACAAATTGAGCCGGTCATAAAGAGAAAAGAGAAGGAAAAAAAAGGGAGAGGGGAGATATACATGTATATATATATATGTATATATATATAGTTACTCCAGCCGCCGTAAAATGATCGATTTTTATTGTCCAAACGAGTGCGGGTGAACGAACGAATGGTAGGTCGCAAGAAAAAAAGGAAGAGACAAGGACGGCAGCATGAACGTACAATATATATATATATATACATTTGTGTACGGCCCTCAAGAGTCAAATGAACAGACGAGAAGAACGAGAAAGCATCGCCAGATGGTCAATCCAATGTTAGATTTGTCTTTATAGTATGAAGATGTATGTTTTAGCAAATAATGAAAAGCTAGAAAATATCATATAAAACAAAACAGATGACAACGAGGATAAGCCTTAAAACATCGTCAAGATTCTTTCTCGAACAACTTCTTTTCTTTACTTTTTTTTTGTTTTATGTGTCTTCTATACAAATAGACAGAAATATTTGTTTGTTTTATCAGGTCACAAAAGCATTTGATTATATGCGACATGATTTAAGAGAACGAAGAAAAAAAAAATCCTATGTCTCAATCTATTGTATAATCGATCACTACTATATGGAACAAAGAAAGCAAAAGAATTTTATAAAAAAAGACAAAAAAAATGTTTCTTTTGTCCGAATATCAATCAAATATGTTGTTTTTTTCGTTATATTTTACTTATTCTGTATGTTTGATGCCCTTTAGTGCCGAATTGTTTGAAGTATATAGTTCCGTCTATCACACCTCATTCAATCATTTTTATTATTCTATTGTCCTCACCTCATCATATCAAACGCATTCGGGCGTCAAACACAAACAGAGACGACGACTATACACATCTAACTCTCTCTTTTTCTTTCTTACGCGAACATACATGAGTTATATTGTTGAGAACACATATATAGCAAAAAGAAAAAAATCGTCTACAGTTCTCGTTTACTATAACGACAAGAAGAAGAAGAAGAAGAAGAAGAAGAAGATGAAGAAGAAAAGATAAAGAACAAAAAGAGAAAAACTTCTATATGTTGAATATAAGAGAAAAGAGTTCCATCGTTGGCTAACGTATAATAAGTGAAGAATGAGCGTTCAGCAGCTGCAACGGCAGGATGAACTTTTGTGCAAGAAAGAAAGAAAGAAAGAAAGAAAAAAAATCGAGAGAATAAAAGAAGGTCATGAGCGCGAGCAAACGAGCGACAAGAAAAGTTATTCTATAGTAAGCAGATATAGCGCTTCTCCAATTACGAATAATGACATTCTGGTATATATAGTAGACACGCGACACAATGAATAGTACTATAAATGTCTGGTACTTTTTTTTTTACGCTTGTTTTTCTTCTTTTTTCCTATAATAAATGTGAAGAGGAATAATTAAATGACATTTAACCAATACTATGTTCATCTTTGACCCATATCCGAATAAACATATTGTGATAACAGCAGGGAATAAATGCTTATAGCTTATAGGCACAAAGAGGCAATAATAAAAAATGACTGTCTAAAGTAATCAAAATTACAACCTGTTGGGAAAATGAATTAAAGATGATAAGAAAAGACAAACATTTCTTTTTTTTTTTTTAACCAGAAATAAATCGAATGATTAAAGAAAATATATAGCACATGTTATTTTTAATCAAGATAAATCATAAAATTGATTTGTTATTCCATTAAAATCAAAGCCAAATCACAAAAAAAGAAAATTGCAAAATGAAAGAAGAATTGAATTTTTTTTCTAATTGAATGAACACATCACAATAATTCGAAAAAAACAGTGAACGATTTATTATATTCATTCTACTATAGTTACCGATTAAGATACTCGAATCATTGTCATATAAAACCAATAGAATGAAAATGACTTATTCAATATGATCATTGGTTTTATTAAGTAAATGTAGAAACATCTTTCAAATAGAAACTGTCAATATGACAGAAGATATAGAGAAAGAAAATTGAATTTATTTAAGTTAATATCATTAGGAGAAAAAAACATATATCGGATATTTTTGAAAATTTTACTGTAGTCAACGAAATCTGATTATATATCAAGATAAAAATAAATTTGTATATCTCTGTCAGTCATGCATCATTGATCGTCATTTATCATAGATTGTCAAATCTTTAAACATAATTTTTAATCAAAATTGGAGAAACAAAAGTAAAACAAAAATTTACAATATATTTATATTTATTGTACATTTCTAGAATGATGAAATATATTTATTTTTGATTGTTCAATTTGTGTTTTAACTTCATAAAAACTTTCTTTAATATGTGGCCAAAAGATATCAAAATATGACCATGTATACGAAAAGAAATTTTGTAAAAAGTCATTAAGATAATTTACTAAAGAAAAATGTATTAATATAAATTGTACAAAACGATAAATCATCGGAAAGGTAATTACAAATGTGCATATATATGTTATCAATGCAATTGACATTGTTAATATGAGAGAATTATTATAACGATCATAAACATGAGCACCAGCTGTTATACTTATACATAATGATGTTAAAATTCGAAGAATTTCTAAACCATGTGTTAATAATAATCGACCAATAAGTAAATATGTCAATAAAGATAAAACTAATCGTAATAAAATATTTATTGGAAGTATTATTAGAATACAAATAGTGATTATAATGTTGCATAAATGTAATATAAAATATTTTGATGGATCATGAATATATGTTATAGACAAATATTTTTTACTAAATTGAACTCTTTTTTGATTGATTTTTTCTCGAAATAATTGTAATTTTAATCCAAGATTATGAGCAGATTTAATTATTGAACGACGTAATATATGATATAATAATGGATAAATCAAAGCAAAATAAAATGTTAATAACATAATTAAAAGAAAATATTTTGAAATAAAATGTTCGTCAATTCGTCTATATATAATATATTTACATAAAATAAATGATGAAAATAAAAACATAATTATATTTGGTTGAAATAATATTAAATATATTAAATTTGTATATAAATAAATAAATAATAAACTTATAATTAATATTATTAATAACCATAATACATTATTAATTAAACATGAAATAAAAACATGATATATTAAATAAAATATTATAAATAAATTAACAAATTCACAATAAAATCTTCTATAATTATTATTTCCTTCTAAATATGTTCGAATATTTAATAGTGTTATATTATTTATAAATTCTTGAATTGAATTACTAATTAAAAGATTATTTAACCATGGAAATAAAAATGTTGTTAATAAAATTGTTAATGGAATATTTAAAAATGATTTTATTGGTATAATATAATATTGTATTATAATTGCAAATATAAATGGATAAAGATGTCGATCAATAGCTTCAAGTATGTGCCATAATGTTGTTGTTACAAGAATTGTTATACTTATTGAAATACATACATTAAAACTAATACCAAAGAATAAATATGAATAAATTTCATATCCACAATAAATTGCTGGACCAATTGAACCATATATTAACATAATACGAATACTTTCAATTGGCCATAATTTTTGATTTAATTCAAATATCCATATTGATGGTAATATTTGACAAAATTTTGTACTATATGGACGAAGAATTTTATTAGAAAATAAATCAATAAATTTAAACCAATAATTAATAAATTTATTTATTATAGGTAATATATAAATAAGAATAAATGGTATTATATACCAATAATTAAGAAGTAGAATTAACAAACTACTTGTTAACCATATAAATGTATGTTGATAACGATATTTATAAGCTACTTGAGAACCAACTACTAAACTGATGATTGATGCTGCTAATTTAAGAAGAATTTGATTTTTATAAGCTTGACGCATAAGATTTTTAGCATAAAGTTTTAAAACCGCAAATGGTCCAACAATCGCATACATCAATACAATGAGCAGTGGCGTCATGTTATTTTTAACTTTACAACTCTATCGTTTGACGAGAACGATGCAAATGTATGTTTCTTCACGCCCACTGACAGTCGCTCGCATACGCATAGCTCTTGTTTCACATCTACAGAATTGCAACGAAAGCATGCAATTGCAATCGCAATGAGTGTAACCGATGACAAAACAAGGTGTGTACAATGCGTGCATATCGTATTCATTTACACAACTTTTTTTAAAAATAGACAGCATACTAATGATACATTATTGAGTCAATTTCTTCTTCGGTTTTTTTTTTTTTTTTTTTTTTGTATATATATTTATTTATAAACAACAAGTGCATTTGTTTTGTTATAAATCAAATAAAGAAATTATAAAAAAAAGAAAAGAAAAGATAAGAAAACAGAAAAACAAAAGCAAAACAATCATATACATTTATATATATATTATTTATTTCTCATTCTATGATGTAAATTGTTTATTTTTTTTTATATGTACTATGATTTAATTGTGATTTAGCTGATGCTAAACGTCTTTCTAAATGTTCAATGTCTCTTTCAAGTTCCTCTTCTTCATTTGTATTTGACATAATTGTATGGATTGGATTATTATTTATTGTGGAATTAAAAGCTAAAGAAAATAGAAAAATAGAAAAATTTAAATCAATAATAAAAAAATTTTTTTTCTTCTTCTTGGTTTATATTTACAATCATTATATTCAAAATTTTTATTTTTATCCATTAGTAAAAATGTTTTTGTCATTGCTAATTCAAGTTTTAATTCATTTTGACGATGTTTTAATTGTGATATACGTTGTTGACGATGAGATTTATCACGAAGCTATAATAATGAATAAAATAAGCCGATGAATATAATTTTATTCTCTCTATTTCAAACTTACAATTGGACTATTCCATGATGTATTAGGATTTGAACGTCGTTCATCTTATAATAACAAAGAAAATTGTTTTTTTTATTTGTCATTGCAATCAATCTGATTTGAAAAGACTATTGTTTTTTAGTTTACAAGTCAAACTATCTTAACAGAAAGTTGAATATTTGCCAATAGACTTATGATAAGCAATGAGTTCTTCAATCTTATTAACCTTTTTTTCGATATTTCTTATAAACATCTAACAACTAGTGAAGTTCGGTAGAACATTCAATCGGTCTCAGAATAGTTTTGTTTTTATTGCAGATTAACAAATCGAAAACAATCTGAGAGTAGATTTGAACATGCCAGTCTCAGTTCTGGGGCTGAAAATGACTGATTTCACTTATGTCTATCTTAGAGTTGCTGTGAACTTTGTGCGTTTTGTTGCAAAATGCTAATAGAAAAAATTTTCAAAGAACCATTTGAATGAAATATTCATTTCAGATTAATAAACATTAACCGTACGATAGAAAAAATTTGAATTAATTTGTAAAACCGAAGGCACAAAATGAACTCTGTTAATACTTAAAAGATTGACTAAACTTTCTATCTCAATGATTGTTGATAATTTTCAAAATGTAGCTAAACAATAAAAAAATTCAGTATCTCTAATCTACTTCAATCAATCAGACCGAATTTTTTTTCTCGATGATAGAAGACTCTTCAAAGATTTTACACATAGAGAAACTGTCAAATAGATATATTGAATTCAATGAAGAAGAAATATATGTCAGTAAGATAAGTCCGGTCTCGTTTACTTCAGTTGAAGAAGAGTTAGCTCTACTCACTCTGAGTCTTATAACTCAAGAAAAAAATAAGAAGCTTATGCGTCGCCGAACCTATCCTTATGTAATCTTTTAATCCAGCTGTTTACGCTATGAATTTCATCCAAGTGTTTAAAAATTGCGAATATTTAACACAATGATAGGTTGATCAGATCATAAGCTTCTTTTCTTCTAGACTTATACTGAAAAGAACTATAACAGATCGAGAATGAGCTCCCTTCGTTTACTTACATCCGAGATGATACAAGTAGACAGGGCATTTCTGGTAAATTACTATCCACAGATGGAAAAGTACAGCTACTCGCCAGTACAATACCGGTATGGATTTCAGACTGATTCCATCTCTAACTAACGTTGCATATATATCAAAAATTTCGGATGTGCATGTCTTTATTCATGGCAATAGTGTTAGTGCAAAATAGAAATCATTGATGGTTTACCTAGTAGATAAAAATTTTGAAAAATCGCCTATCAACAAGCGAAAAAAGACCAGTCCTATTAGAAATATTGAGTGTTTTTTTTTGTATCATCTAGTTATTTACGATTCATCCTATATATGTAAAAAATTCATTAAAGTCATCTGACATTTAACAAAAAAGAAATCCATTAGTTGATTAAGTTCAATTCATAGAAAACTTTTCAGACACTCGACATAAATTATGTGCAATATATTATATCCTTGGTTAATATATTTTTTAATTTAGAAAATTATCTTTTGAAATGAAATTTTTTCTTTTTGTTTTATTATTTGAATTCAAACCTTTTCGTATTGATTTATTTCTTAATTTAATTGAATTATTTTCATTATTCATAATAATTGGTATTGATGAAATCATTTCTTCAAATGTTGTATTACTCATAGATTCATAACCACTTGAACTAGCACGTCCCGATGCTGATGATGCTGTACTACTTGTTGTTAATGGCATTAGATCATCATGTGAATCTAATGTAACTGTTAATGGTGATATTAATGGTGAAGATTCAATAACAGTTGGTATTAATGATTGTGGTGGAATTGATGATGAACGTAAACCAAATAAACGTTGAAAAATTGATGGACGTGTTGGACGATTTGATTCGGAAAGATTTTTCGATTTTTTTATTGTTGATGATGATGATAATGGTAATAAATGATGAGGCGTATTTGGTATTGAGTTTAATGGTGTTCGTGATTGACGATTTTGAGATTTAATCACAGGTGAATTTGGTACTGATAAACCGATTGATGAATAATGAAGATTTTCTGATAATTGATTATTACTTTAAAAAAAAACAAATAATAGATATATTATTTTTTAAAAGAGTAAAAAACAAAAAAACAAAATCTTACTTAAATACTTGATTAAAACGTGTTGGAGAAATAATTCTTGATAAACGTTTAGTTTTTTCATCATTTGACATATATGATGATAATTGATCAATATGATTTAATGATTGAGATATTATGGATTGTTGTTTATCATTATTAATTGATGATGGAATTAATAATGTTTCAAGTGTTTTTTCTAATATTTCCATATCATCATTTAATTTATTTGTACTAGATTTAAAATCATTTTTTAATGATTTTTTTATATCGAATAATTCATTCGAACGAAATGGTATTAATGTATGATCTTTAAATACTGGTAATACAGGTAAATGACAATGTGAACTAATTATTGATTCATTATCAAAATTTGTTATTGATGATGATTCATCATTATCTTTTTCTATAATTGTTGATGATAGAAATGATGGTTTTGATAAAAGAATAGAATTTTTAGATTTAGATGTATGTTGACGAATTGATTTTGAATGTATTTTTGATTTTGATTTTTTACGATGATATTTATTTATTGGAGAATGATATTCAAATGGACCATCAATCCATATTTCAGTTTTTTTTGAATTTATTGAACTTAATGGACCATCAATCCATATTTCTTCATTATTATGATTTATGACTGTTTCAACAGATGATGAATCAGTACGATCTTGAGACATCTAAAACAAAAACAAAAATAGAAATATTTTAAGATGATATATAAACTTGTTGTCAACAGTCTGGCTATTAGCTAAAAACTATTCAAATATGCGAATTCTTCTATTATATTATATTTTAGACATAACAAAAACATAAATAACCTTGATAACCAGGGAAAATTATATTTTGATCAGCCTTCAATGTGCAGAAATTACAAGGTCAATAGATCTTTTTTTTTTTTGCTCAGACGAGAATGTTTTAGAATTAGTAACAAATCGTATAGCATTTGATCGCTTATTTGAGTACTCATTGCGTTTGATATTACCTAGAAAAATTTCATATTAAATGATTGTTACTTGTTTGATTTATGAAGTTCACTTTAGATATTCTTAGCATGAGAATTGATGAAATGTAACTTTTAATTCCGACTATTTTCAAATATTTGCTCTAGTGAGTTCTATGGTCTAACTTAAATATTCGCTCTGGAAATTTAATAATTATAGTCCTTAGTAGAATGAAGATCTATGCAAAGACAATTCAAGATCACAGTAAATTAATATCTATTATTTTCGACATAGTAAACATATATCGAGACTTAATTATTGATAAAAAGATGGATATTAACGCTTCTAAATAATGACGAACTAAAAATCTATGAAAAAAAAAGTAGTGTTTTTATTCTAAATTTGAATACATTAATATCGATCGACCTTGGGTTGGCACTTGCACAGAGAGTTTATTGAGTTCTGTTTATTATAAAACTATCAAACAAAAAAAAACAGGTTTGATTTTTATCCGATAGCACAGACTTTTGACATCTATTGTATATATATTTATATAAGATTAGGGTTTTTGTTTTTGCCAATAAAAACATCGATTTTCGATATATGAAAGCTGGTTTAAGAGAATATGGTTTATTTAGTATTTATCAACTTTAGTTAATATATACTTGATATGAAATTGATTAACTGTTGAAAAGATGAAATATTAGCAGATGTCATTAAATACTTCTAATCTATCAATGAAGAATTTGCAAATGAATGTCAAACAACTATCGAGTACAAGAGTGAAAAACAGTATACTGCACGAATGTTTGACATAAGTCAATCAGATCGAAGGTTTTGTTTCGAAGATTAAATATTCTTTTCATAGAAATTCTTTCAAAATAGACAAAAAAAAAAAAACAAATCGAAATTATTATCTCAGCTAGTATTGCTTTTTATCTTATATGAAACTTGACATCAGTTAATCTTTTTGTCATTTGACCGGACACGAGTCGGACTATATTCTGCATATATCTAATCGAACCTGTGACAATTAACAGTAAGTTTGGTTGATGAATAACTTTAGTTTTTGTCTTACTTATATATCGAACAATACGCAAGGATCGTTACATATCTTGTATTCAATATAGATTTTAAATAAACAAATACGAATATGTTACGCTAAAAGGAAATAATCAACTTTTGTAGTCTCCAAATTTTACGATTACGAATTAAGCTCTTTTAAAAATCCATAATAAGAGAAATGTATAGTTCAGAAATTCATTTAATCTACTTTAAAAAGAAAAAATAAATTTCTACATAAGTTTATTCGAATCATCGTATATAATTCAAATTTATAAATTTTCGTAGAAGATATTCAATCGATAGATTTATCTAATAATCTGATTTCCTATTGTAACATCCTTTATTTTTTGTTCTTACTTTCGATCGATGTTGTTTTATTCGAAATAGACGTTGAATTTTCATCCAATATTTTAATTGTTTATCATTTTTAACATTTGCAAATAAATATAAAAAATTTTCTGAATATTGTTCTATATTATTTAATATATATCGACGTAATAATGATGATAATGATTGTTCGATCGTTAGATTACGCTTTCTATTTATACAAATTATATATATATATATATTGTATAGACTACATTTTGGTAAAAACATTAGCAAGAAAAAAAAAAGCATAATTAGTAAAACTTACTTCAATGTATTATATGATTGTTTCTGTCTATTTGACGAGAATGATAATGCTAATGACATAAAAATATCAGAAAATTGTTCGTTTCCTATTTCATTATCATTATCATTGGTAAAAAGTATATGAAATTGTGCTTGATTTGTATTTGTTGAACGATATATAAGATGAAATGTAATTAATAATGGATTATATCGATGATTTGAACAAAGATTATTTAAATATTGACATGTTTCATTTTGAGATGAAACCAAAGAATCTTTTGTTGATAATAAATAATTTACTATTAGAAAATAAATATTAAAGTTTTTTGTTTTTTGTGAAATCATTTTTCAGATTAATATTTACTTTCCGATGTTTTATGATTTAAAAATTTTTGTACACTAATACGAAGAATTAAATCTTTATCTTGATTATTATTAACAAAATTATCTAAGCGTATAAATGATGATGATAGAATTACAGTTTGAAGTTGATGAACTATAAAACAAAAACAAAAAAGAAACAAGAAAAATTAGAAATATTGATTAATTTTTTATCAAGGAAAAAAGAAAACAAGAAATAAACAATCCTAATTTCTTGCCTTCTCGATAATGTCCACAAAGTATAAGTAATGTATTGCAAGAATTCTTTGTTAAACGTGATATACATTCGTCAAGTATACGTTCACTAATGTTCGTTGTCTGTTCATTATTAGAGAATATCTCATCGAATAATTGCCTTTGCTTGTCATTGAATGGACATAAACAACGTAGGCCAAGTCTAATCTAAACAATGCCATATAGAGAAATAAAATATGAGATACAAAAAAGATAAAAAGAATTTTTTTTTCTTGTCATGTCTCAAAGTTCATTAGTGATTCGATTTAAACATCGTCTTTCCTTACTGATGCATTAGTTATTTTACAGTGACAAAATTGAATGAATAGAGACCAATTGCATCGGTCAATCGAGAAAAGCGAAGAAAAAAAACCTACTGTCATAAGTGACTTCTATATTAAATTATTCACATCTGAGAAAAGAAAAAGGCTAACATTTAATTTATTTACTAAGCTGGTGTTATATCATATTAACTATATAGATAGTAAAATTATTCGAATGTTTTACTTACTCGTGATGATGAAATAATTTTTTTTTGATGATGATAATGATTATTATTATCATAAATACCAGAACAAGAATCTGCTGTAATAGAGGACTTCAGATGATTGACAAATGAAGATGACAACGTCGTTTGTTCTTGTTGTTGTTGTTGCATAAGTTCTATAGAATGCTTAGGGTCAACGCCGATCATCATTTGTTGTTTCGACGAGGACAAACTATAAATGAAATGATGAAAGAAGACATGCCTCTAATTTCTACTTGATTAAACGAACAACGGAAAGAAGAAAAAAAAAAAAAGAAATGTGTCATCTCTTTGTTATAGTGAATGACGCAAGTACAGAAGTATTATAAAAGCAAACATACAATACATCTGTATGTATTGAACACGTATGTGCAAGGTTATACATGATCTCTACTGACATTCTTCAACCAGAATTGAGTTTCACTCTGTAATATATATATATATATATATAAAAGATGACTTCATCATTGTACTGTTTTATGTAAATATTTCGTTCTTTTTTTCTTCTCATATATATATAAACGACACTCTTATTCTATACTCTAAATCAAAGAAGTGTCCATCTTATACATATACTAATGAAGTTCTATTTTAGTGTTTTGTTTTTGTTTCATTAGATTATCTCATTTTTCGATGGCGACGAGGAGGAGTATATCAATGAAAATAACAAGAACAGCTATCATCGATCAATCAGTATATTCATATGACAGCAATATATCGTAATTTTTTAACGATGAAGGATCGACATGAGTATATACAGGGAGAGAGAGAGAGAGAAAGAGAAAAAAGAAAATAGAAACCTCGATTTATAAATTGTTTCATTGAAGAAAGGATAAGTGATGATATTTGTTTCATATTTGACAGCCATATTATATTTTCGACATCGTTTATATAGAAAAAATTGTGACGAGTAGTATAGCTAATAACAATTTACAGCATATATATCTTAAACCAGGGTTTGGTTTCGTTTCGTTTCTTTCTTCTTCTTTTTTTCCTCCCTATAGAAATGACAAGTCAATTGACGAACAGACCGAAAATAGATATAAGATGACATGTAATGATAGAGATTCAACGTATTCTACGAGTAATTTCATACTAGAACTATTCCAAATATATCTATTGTATTGCATTATTAGAAAATAGTCTATTTATAGAATTTTAAAGTTCATAAGAAAAGAAAACAACTAAAAAAAAATATATAATTTATTACTTATTTTACAATTATTAACTAAGAACCAATATAAAATATTGTCAATTAGACCTTGATCACATATGTGTAAGACTAGACCTATAAGGCTAATTTATGTTTACTTCTATTTTTTGTCAATTAAATCTACGGTATTGCGCTAGTCTAATTTTTCTTTTCAAGAATCTAGGCCAACTACTACGAAGTATATATTATTTAAGTATCTTGTATTTTGTTTATAATAACGACATGGCGTGACCATCTGTCTTTCTTCGCAACGACAAGTCTTCTATCATGAATAAGTAGACAACAAAAAAAAATAATTAATTTCTATCACACAAAACAACATATATATTCATGTCGTTACCAATCTATAAAATGCAAGTATCAAGGATGTGAATATAAGAAAAAAGTAAAAAAAAAAAAAAAAAAAAAAAAAACAGAAATTTTTTCCAACCTTGATAATGTAAAGATGTCGAATAAACAGAAGTAAAATAAATCAGTTAGGAAAAGTAAAAGGAAGCATACGTCTCTTTTAGAATAGAACGTTTTTTCTTCTATAATCGACCTTAAAGTCAATAAAAGATCCAGTATGTAGTACGTAGTCAGTCAATGAAAATGATGTAATCAGGCAAAAGTAGTTGGGTGAGTACAGCACATATATCCGGCTTGAAAACCATCTTTTGATTTAACCAAGAGAAAAAGAAAAAAAAAAAGAATGAGTATACACAAGACAGAGAAAGAGAGAGGTGTCACACAAAGTACCCAACGCCTAACTAATAAGTGCATACATGATTATATTTTCTCTCTCTCTCTCGCTTTCGCTATTGTCTACTTACTTATTGAATAAAGAGAATAAGAATGAAAGAACAACGATTTATTATAGGGTGGGTGATGATGGTCAGTAGAACAAATACACGATGGAATTGCTTTTAACTACCGTTTGTTGTGAATGAAGATGATTATGATTTCCGCATTTTTTTTTTATTATCGATAATGAATGATGATGTAAATTAAGATCACGATACGTCCTTCATACAGGCGACAAAGATACTAACTAACGGATGCATCAATAGAACACATAGACACTTAGTAGTAAATCTTCTCTATTTTTTGCCCTGATCAAATCTTTTTATTAACCGCTTCATTAATTGACACGTACATTCGTTAAAAAACAACAGAAAAAAAGAAGAAAAGCTTAGAAGCATAAATGGAGTACGTAATATGTAAAGCGAGACACACTAGACGAATGATAATCATGATCTATCTATGAACACTTAATGTGAATGACCTTTCACGTATAGAGATAAGTTACTCAAATTAAATGGATTAATTCAATAAATTTATCCACTCCGCCTTATTTTTGACTTCATATAGTGAGAAGTTTAAGACTAGACATATACATACTGTGAGAAGTGTTAATGACAAGAATATTTCGGAATGATCTAGAATTGACGGCGGTAAAGTTAAAAGCAAAAAGAATACAATCTCATAATCGATGTCTGCTCATTCATCGTCTAAGAGAGAACAGCTGACCTTGCACATTATTACATGTTCAATCTTTTTGTCTTCTACATATCAAGATACTAAACAATATTCATTATTTACTATTCAATAGATAAGACAGTAACTCTTCTCTTTGTGTCTGTATGTCAATGTACATATGTATATGATCATTTAAGTTTGACCGATCATACAAACAAAATTTAGTTATTAACAAAAATGAACATTTTCGAAGAAGATATATGTATATATATATATATATGATATACAGAATATATTGCATTGTATTTTACTAAAAAACAGAGTAGTTTCTTACTTTGATATATGATGTTGATAACGTTTCATATAGTGATGATAATTGTTGGTGAGAATAGTGGATCGAAAATTCGATGAAGTGTTGTTAACGACCAAAGGACGACGATACTGTAATAACAACTCATGCAATAAGAGTAGACGAGACAAATATTTGAGTGTGCAAGGTTATAGAAGAAGAAGAAGAAGAAGAAAAAAAAAAGACATCTAATAACTATTGTGGGAAGAGAAAAAACCGACAATTTTTGCTTTTAGACATATCAAATTGTCTTTTCTTTTTATCTTTTCTTTTTTTTTTTTCTATACGTAGCAAAATGAATTGAAGATATGTATATAGTTACTTGATGATCATCTTTTCTTCTATGATATTGACGATTGATACAGTTTAAATGTTCATCGAACATTGAACAATGATTTGATGTATAAAATTTGACAAAATAATCATTGACAATAGGGAATGATTTGATAAAACTAAAATAAAGGCAATAGGGTGCTTTTTTTTTCGTGTCCTATATTTACTTTTAAAGATATTGGATCTTTAGACAATTTACATATTATATGAAATCAGAGAAGAATTTTTTCTTTTTTTTTTGTCGTTTTTAAAAGAGAATCTGTCAAATGATTGGCAAAGATGAACATCACAATTACGAACTTTTGCTTACCTATTTGATTGAACAGGCATTGCAAGTGATGCTCGTTTGTTATTATTTCGTGTATTAATGATCAATGATTGTAGCGAGTTCATTTTTAAATAGGACAAGAACGATTGATTTTTTTCTTTGCGGAAGATGAAGAAGCAGAAACAAAATTAAAGTACACTTCACACAAAATGAAAGAGCAAAAAAGAAGAAAAAAAAAAAAGGTCGGTATCAAGAAAATCTAACGAGCGTATGCTCTTTAGTCACACTTGATGATCAATCCACACGTTCTTAAAGAATAAACAGCTCAGATCTATTATTGTGTCACACGTTTCCTTTTCATCATTGAAACTTAAGACATTGGTCATCTTAATTGAGATACTGAATAGAATTGTACAATATACATATGAAAAAAAAATGAAAAGACAGTCAATGACATGAAACAGTTTGCCTTGACTTGGTTTCGCGAGTGAAGGGAAAAAAAAAAAAGAATTCATTTTTTTCCGGCTTCATCTTACTGACCTTGTACGTACGACATCGATTCAACATTAGAGATCGCCGATGGCGATAGTATTCTTACGATTCAAACCACGTTCTAGTATGTGAACGAGAGCATCAAATGGAAAATTCAATAAAATATATTTAACAAGAGAATGAGAAAGAGAAATCTTACAATACTAGTCAATCAATTCTCTACTCTTATAAATATGCTAAATTTTCAAGTAAAACAGATTTGGTCTTCTTTATTATATGAATTATTATTAAGATTAATGATTCTTACGAATTCACCTTTGCTTCTCAACAGATTGAAAAGTGTTACACTTTGTCTTTTTTCTCTCTATTAATAATGATGAATTGGTCGAATTCTCATCCTTTACATCATACACACACACATTCTCTCCTTCCTACTCACCAGATGTGATGTCAGACAATGTGCCTATACATCTCCTTTTATTCTTATCATCATCAGTAATTTCAATTGTATTTTATGTGATGCGCGTTTATCTACCCTACCTAAAAATCTTCCGCTTTATGAAACAATATAAAATGTCCGTTCTATTACAGGTGACTATTGGTCTGATGACCCTCTCATCCACTTCAATCATACAACGAAAATCACCATCATCAACATGTCATCATTACATACTCGCACACATGCACACTCTTACATACACACAAAGAGTACATACATGCATATATACATACATATATATATTTATGAACAAAAGAAGAAATGCATATAAATTGAAAAAAAAAACGAACAGAAGAGAAGACTTGACATCTCAATTGAAATCGAACATTATGTATAGTGTAGTAAGAGCGATAAAGCAAGATGTTGCCTCACACATCAAATGATGATCTAAGTGAATAGGAAATAACTAGATGATGACGGGACGGACTAAATTTTATATTTGTTCGATTATGAACGATGAGACAAAAAGATAGAACATAGGGATCACTTACCAACGAAATGAGACGAAAGGCTTAACTAATTTTTGTCGCCAATAATTATGTAAAAGGTATTATTTCAATGGATATATATAGAGAGAATTATGTGTTCTAAATAGGATCAAGTGGCATATTTTTTTAATTACACATATTGACACTGAACTAGCGGATAGGTGCCATTTTATCAATTTCATTGGAAATTTTCGTTCGCAAAAAAAGTTCAATTAATTCATTATGTGTACCAATGAAATATCTCTCAATTATGGACACATTTATCCTTCCCCATTTTTTTTTCTCCTCATGTAACTATTACTATATCATATATTCTGTCGTACAAACGAATTCTTTTTTAATATGTCTGTCGACAAAAAAAAGAAAAAGATGTACAGATAGTAGTATTGTCCATCTGTTGCATGTCTTTTCCATGAAAGTCAAATAGAATAGTTGATGATTATTTCTTTTTTCTTTTTTTTTCTCTAAGAACAAACATCTTCTACACCAATCAAGTTCATTTTATTGATTGAATATTAATAATATTCGATTGAGGAAATGATAAAGAATCATTTTCATCTGGTAGAATTATACAACATTGACGAATAAATCTTAAAAAGATTTGATTAAACCAATTAAGAATTATCGATGATCGATTTTTTTCATTAGATGAAAGAGAATTGCATTGATTTTTATTGAACATTATTAAAATGAACGATAGTTGATAATAAAGTAATAAAAATGCGCTTGTACATAATTTTTTCTTTTTGTTTTATAACAGACACATTTTTTTATTTAAATATGATTCTTATCTTTCTTTTGTAATGGTATATATATATATATATATCAAATGTATTGAAACAATTCGATTTTATTCGACGATTTCTCACTTGAATCTGTTTCGGATTATTTCTCATTTCGATTCCATTTCAGTTCGACCATAATTCATCAAAATAAAAGATTGATTGATATTTTTGTACTTTAAATACATTTACTCACCGCAGTGACAATAGAAATAATCGAACTAATATCTGCAGTTTGAGCTCATATTAGGTTCATAATGAAGTTTTGGTAAGACTAGAAAGACCCCAAAAAGGTCCATGCCCATAGGTTCTTGAAGCCGAGGTATGATCGTCTTTATTGAATTTTCAATTCTACTTTAGGTATTTACAAAAAATTAAATAACGGTATTTCAATCTGAAATTCCATCTATAAACAGGTTGAATGATTAATAGAATATCCTGAAAGTGTCAGCCGAAAAGAATGATCTTTTATCGAGTTATTGAATTTTCAAGTAAACTCGATTTTTATTTTTGAAATTCAATATCTCGACAAAGGAACATTCATTTCGGCAGAAACTTTCAGAATATTCTATTAGTCATTCGACCTGTCTATAGGTAAAATTTCAAATTGAAACTCTATAATTGCATTTTTCGGTAAGTATCTAAAGCTTGATCGAAAATTCTGTAAAAACGGTCATAACTCGGTACTAGGGACTTATGAGTACGAATCATTTTAGGATTTCTCTAGCCTGAACGAGACTTCCTTATAAAGTCAGTATGAGGTCAAACGACGAGTATCAGTTCGGACAGTTTCATCGTGAGTGTGGGTGAAGATTGTATCTAAAGTAAAAAACGTATCAAATTCATTCTCGAATGGTTATTGGTTGAACAGAGTCGATACAATAATCTGGCTTAAACCAAATGATATGTCAATGATCATTATTAAGACACGCATATTGAATACGAAAAATGAATAATAAGTAACATGCAATTCACAATTACACGTCGTAATGCATTTGTACTTAATTATCAAGGTTTACAATCACCAATTCAATGTGGTAAAACCGTAAAAATGTAATTTGTGAAGAAGTAAAAAAACAAACAATTTAATTTTTCTTTTCATTATACAGTGGCCCTCATATTTATTTGACAAGGTTTATTTTCAATTTCTTTTTCATTGCTGTAAACGCTCATAAGAATCTAAATAGTGATTTATGTAGAGAATTTTATTGTCAATAAGAATTTTCTAAGATAAAAATGATGCTAACTTTCAAAGGATAGAATCTCTGAAAAATTCAAATTCAAGTTTTTTATCTCCTGAAATTCTGTTGGAATAATTCAGAATGATAGAGGAAACAATTCTCTACAAAATAAAAAAATGTGATCGAGTTTAGAAGGTAAACTTGCAGTTTTTTTTAATTTTCTTAACATTGAAAATGTCATTGGAAAAAAAACAAGTAATCGATCAACGAGTTTTTTTTCTAAAACGAAACTGTTTCAATAATAATGACAACCATCATATAGAATGAAAATGAATATTTTCGATTAATAAAAAGAAAAAAAGAATCAAGGTTTGTTTTAACTCGATGAAAATGTTTATTGAAAGCCTATGAGAATCTGTGCGAGTATCATGAATAGGAAAGTACAGCATTTTTTACGATCTTCTAAAATTTCAGAGAAACAATTGAATGAAATTCGTAAGTCTATAAACGAACAATCAACATAAAATTATACAATTTTTGAGAATTTTAAATTAATAATGGTTGACTATGTTTAATCATATTCTTGATGAAAATTAATTTAAAGGTTAAAGACAATCGCTCTTTTATTATTTTAATCATCCATCAATAATACTTCCGAATAGGTCATTTCTAATGTATGAAAAAAGAAAAAAGAAATAGTGAATTATATCTTCCAGCTTGAATCATTCCGTACTTATTGCTCAATTTTAGGAATGCTACAAATCTAGAATAGATTTGGATTTGGAAAATGAATTCAATTTTGGACTAAATCAACATAAATAATTTGCAATTTGTTGTTCGTTATTAAAACACAAACTATTTATATTATTTTTGTTCAAGACTAGAATCTTGCGGAGTCAAGTTTTTTCGACGGGTATATACAGTGACTTCATAAATTAATCATATGAATTTAATTTCGATTTTTGTTCCATAATAGTAAATCGTATAAAGAATCAAAATAGTGACTTGAATAGACCTAAAATAAAAAGCTTCTTTTAGTTACACAGAGTGACAGAGTGACTAATTCTCTACAAAATGATACATCTCTGAGCTCTCCGCAATATGTTTTGACTGAATTGCATAAATTTTAAGAAAAGCTCAAAAATTCTATTTGTCTAATTTTCTCTTACACAATGATGAAGAAACTCTTTTTTGCGCATTTTTTAATGTCATTGAAAAAATATCGTGAAGAGCTCGGAGATATATCAGTTTGTAGAGAATTAGTTGCTCTATGTAATCAAAGCAAGCGTTTTTTTGGGCTCTGGTCGCTGAAACGCTAAACTTGAAATTTTCTAGAGACCTTGAGTTTTAAGAATAATGTGAAGATTTTATTTCCTTCAAATCTTTGTTGAAAACGCTTTTCTCTATTCAAGTCATTATTTTGATTGTTTATGTGAGTTATGATTACGGCAAAAGATTGAAATTAAATTTATATGATTAATTTTTGAAGTCACTGTATATTTCTTTTAGTGCTACTTGTTAATGAAAATTTCTTTCTGATTTTTTTCTTGAAACTTATTTATGAATCTATAAAGAAGTCTATTTTTGCTGATTACTTAATATATAAAGCATAAACTTGTTGTTATATACGAGCAAAATTACTTCACTGTTTTAATGAAATGACTTCGTCGAAGTTGAGTTTCG